TTAGATAGAGACGGCCGAGGGAGAGATTGACCATAAGGCCAGAGGTGTTTAAGTTTGAATAATGTGCTGAGAAGGTAAAGCATAAGCCAAGGCCTAGAAGAGATGAGCCAGCCATGCAAGTGGCTAGGAGAATTGCATTTAAGGAAAGGAGACATCCAGAACAAACACTATGGAAAAGAATATGTTTCCTTTATGTAAGTGATCACAGCAGCCTGATAGCGCATGTGACCACACACAAGTCAGGAGAAGCAGGAGGGTGAAGATGACAGGAAGAGTCTGCAGCAGGGTTGGGCAGGGAGGCAATGCAGGTCCTGAGCGGAGGAGTGTATAATCTGATGTGTTTTCAAAGGGGCACTTGGGTACCTCAGTGTGAAGGTAAGGAATGGGGGTCAGGCACGAGTGGAGGAGGAAGACAGGCTTAGAAGCCATTAGCGTAATCTCTGTGCTTGTAGAGACACTGGCAGTTGGGGAGATTCTGAGAATAGAATCCATGGGGGTGTGCAGCAGGATGAGGAGCAGTGGAAGAGGGATGCTGGGTTTTTAGGTTGAGAAAATGAAAGGGTGGAGTCACCAGTTAACTTCAGTGACAAAGACTGCAGGCCATTTGGGGCATGCCTAGCCTGGGTCGTTTTAAATACATGAAGACAATGCTCATGCCTAGGTAGTCATCAAGCAGTCACCTTGACTACACTGGACATGTGTGTCCCCAGACCACCACACGAGCATATAATATCACACAAGAATCGTGGACTTGAAGGGAAAATTGATACTCAAATATTTCCATTAATATATTGAAAATGAAATAAAATTTAACATGACTTTGCCTACACACACACACACACACACATGTTCACGTGTGAGTACACATGTAAAGGCCAGAGGGGAAAGTCAGGTTACCCTGATTTTTCATTTCCCACCTTATTCCCTGCAGACAGGATCTCACTGTGAACTTGGGGTGAGGTTGGTGTCCAGCATTTATCTCTCCGTTTCTAATCCAGATGGCCCTGGGGTTACAGGCGCCTGTGCCTGAACACTTCCGAGTTTGTTTTTAACCTAGATTCTGGGATCCAGACTCTCACACTTGTACAGCAAGTGCTCTTGACCATTGAGCCGTCTTCCCGGACTTAGAGAAGTTTAATTACCAGGCATGTGAAATGTAAATACAGCCAAATCAAGAGTCCTTTCCTTTCTGGCACGTGCCTGATGTGAACTAGGGACCACAGCCTAAGGTGAAGAGGAGGCTAAGCAGAGTTGCCTATCAACAAGGAATTTGCAGCAGACAGCACCAGGTAGAATTTCTCAGTAACTCCTTGTCTCTCTGGAACTAGAACTTGGGCGGTTGAAAAACAATCCCTCAGAGTGAGATTCCCTGTGGCCTTTCTGCTCAGCAGGGTCCAGGAGGAAGGATGGTTTAGTAATTGCTTGCCCTGTCAAGCTTTACCTTGACCCTAAGCAGCCACATTACCTTGGGCCCAGAGGCCCAGCACCTAAATGAAATGTAGCTCAACTCACCAGGAGCCCAGGTCTCAGCAAATTCAGAATCACATATAAAAATGAAAACTTGGTCCCATATGTCTTTAAACCCATGACGGTCACTGCTGATATGATACTGCAGGGGGAAATGACTTAGATTTTTGTTGGGTAGATGGATTTGGGGGGCTCTCTCTGTGCAATTTTCTTTAACATAGTGGGGTTTTTGTCACTGTAATGAAAACTGCCTTCAGCTGGAAAGAAAAAAGGGGGGAGAGAAAGACAGCAGGAGAGAAACAATAGCAGCCTAGAAGTAGAATTTTCCAAATAAATTAAACACTTTCCTGACACAAGACTTATATTAGAAACACTGATAAAACCTTGTCCTTGAAGGTGTGAAGATTCAAGCTCTTAAAATTAATGTAAATAGCAGTACTCTCGCCACAGGCATTAATCCAGACTGCAGAGTGCAGAAGGCGAATACGGAGTGAAGAACATAGGAAAACAGGTCATGCCCAATAAAGGGTGTTTTCAAAATCTTGGGGAAATTTGTGCAGCTTAGAATAATCATACCCTTTGCTCTTACATCTTTATGGCCATGGAATAAGATGAATAAAAAAGGAGCGAATCAACAGAGTGTTCTTGCAAGTGTGTCTTTGCAAGTGTGTCATCGACATGAGCAAATATGGATTTCCTCTTTCTTATTTTTTCAGTATGTATAATAAGCCCTAAGATCTGTGGTTTAGCCTAAATCCTGGGCCAACAAGCAGGAGGGAGGCTGGAATCTATTTTTAGCCCATCAGAGATGTGACCTTCGACAAGTCACTATCTATAAATATAAAGCTCACTAACTGCTCAGTTTATTGGTAAGATTGGGTGAATTGATGCATGTGAAAATATTTTTGAAGTAATAATGTGCTGATCCAAGATTAAATATTATTAGCATGGGGATAAGCGGGGAGACAGAAGAGTCAAGGAGAATAGAAGATTGCTTTAGTTCATCTGGCTCCCGTGGGAACTGTGTGTATGTAGTTAGTGGGGAAACTGGGACAGCGGGCTATGTGAAAACCAGAGAAAGACAGTGTGCACATGTTGAAATGCAGTGTTTGTAATGCAAGGGGGACGGCCCTTTATTAGGCAGTAGATATGCTGAGTTTCGGGTTTTCACTACCAGGAGACTTGGAAAAGTTGAAACTCAGCCTAACTGGGCCTGCCAATGGCCTCTAATGAAAATTTCCATTTGGAGAGACTAGGTGTTGACTTGGCATGACACCAAACAAGCTGCCTGCTGCAGAATTTTACACCAATTGTATTTCTCCTAATTAAACCCTGTCTGACCTCAGCATTAAGAAACAATTTGTTTCAGGATATAACCAGCACACATAAGCAATTACATTCTGTTTGCCCCATTAGCATCACTTGGCTCCTTTGCTATCCAGGGCTGCTACTGCAGTGAGTGTTACCCAGCAGCCAGGGCTATAAAAAACCTGGAGTGTTTGGAGGCTTTTCCACCCCTCATGTGAGGAACTAAGAATATCATCGTTTTTACTCAGCCACGCCAGAGATTTTGGGAACAGTGTGCTTCTGTGTTTATTATAAGGGAGTGTCTATATATACACATACATATATACATATACATATATACATATATATATGAGAATATTTCTTATGGGTTAAAAAACTCTACTTGTAAAAAGAACCAAATGAAACTAAAATAATCTTGGCTTATAATAATCTGGGCTTATTTGATATGCATCTTTCACGTTCACATTCAGCTGTAACTCTTGCTTTTTCATAGCTGTCAGGCTTGGTGAATTTAAATTTGGGGGAGGGATTTAAGGGGAAAGAAAGCTTTGTTGTGTTATAGGTCAAATGCAAGGTCCTGAGAGGCTAGGAAAGCAGTCTATCACCGAGCTATACTCTTGGCTTGTTTTGGAGTTTTGAACTCGAAAATCAAATTCTAAAAGGCATTGCAAAAGAAGCACTGTGTGACAGAGAGGCCAACAGAGAAGGCCTTTTGAACGTAAACATCTCCCCAGGCTGATGAAGAAAGTTCACATCATCGGTGGAGGCCTGAGATGAAGATCAGGTCCTCCTGGGTCTGCCCCCCAAGACACCTGCTAGATTTAAGCCCTCCCATGCCCACTCGGAGGTATTTCATGTGGAAGGCTATTGTAGAGGTCAGCTGGCTCATCCCCAGTATTCTTGTCTACCTGGTCCTCAAATGTTGCCGCCCAGCACTCAGGAGAGCCTAGACCATTCTTCACTCTTACTTCATACCAAAGCTGTGGTGAGTAGGGCTTCTTTCTCCCAGCACCCTGCATTTTGGAGGTGAAGTGGTAAACTTATGAAGAATGTGGTATTCCACGTAGGAAGATGGCAGAGGGAGCATGAGGATCAATTTCCATGTACTCTCTTAGAGTAAGAAACAAGAGATGACACTTGTCCCATGATGCCTAAGGTCTAGTGGGTTGAATGACATTTGCCATTTTGTTTTCCCGTACATTGGGAGTGAGAGCATCTCCTTGTTTTGTATTTCACAGAGGTTGGATGGGGATGATCAAGTCTTGCTGGGAGAGCGAAGGGGTCTGTAAGGGTGACGCTGAAGGAGCAGACAGACGTCTGCTTCAGTTCACTGTGGTGAAGTGTATCAGAGCAGAGTGGCCGTGTCTGCACTGTGCAGAACAGAGCTGCACGGTGAGTCAAGAGCACCTTCTGTTGGCCGCTAGGTCTCATGAGCCTGGAGAAATAGAGGCCTATTTCAACAGGGAGGCAAGTTTAGCGTACTGCTCAACAGGGAGGCAAACTTAGCGTACTGAATGAAGGCTGTTTTTAATCAGCCTTGGTAAGACACTGTGATAGATACTCATGCCTTCCTCCTGACAGGGTTGAAGCCTATCGAACAACGTTACCTTGTCCCTTTCTTGCTAAATCCTGTGCGTGGATGGTGCTGAGACAAAGCATTCACACACTGCATATCCATGGAGAAAACTCACATCTGCAAATTCATAGCACTTAACCTGCAAATAGGTGTTGCAAGGCACAGGATATGAGGGACAGCTGGTGACTGCGGGAAAGGAGCCATGCTCAAAACAGACAACTTCATGTGAGACACTTAGTGGCCCAGAGGCTTAGATGAATCTTGACCTGGTAGCAGTCAAATCTCACAGAATGTTGCCTCTTCTCTGCCTTTTATTTGTCTTCTTTTATCCTCCTCAAGGCAAATACACTGACATCCATTCTGTTACTAAATAGTGGAAGATGTGTTGATTCTAAACATTGGGGAGCCATATGAAGCATTGATGAAAACAGATTTTCTGATTCCATTATGAATTCTTATAATTATAGGGTTCCAAGAATCCAGTTCGTAAACATTTCCAGTCCCGTCAGCAATGCACAATGCATAGTAGGCATACTGCCTGTGTGTATTAGATCAGTGCACCCTCATCTATTCATGTCATGAGAGACTGCTGCCTTCCCAGGAGGACATTTTAAAGCATTACTGATGGTACGATTTTCTGTATTCATAGAGAACGCTAGGGTGCTGAGAGTCAAGGTGAGATGTGCCGGAGCTTCAAAAGGAAATGTAAAAGGCAAGATGTCCTGAAAATGAATGTGATGCACTCGCCGTGCACTCCACAACGACACTTCCTGCTCTCTCCATTCCTTGACTTCACCTTTGCTCAGTGCTGGTCCTGAGGTTGCACATCCTGGTTGATCTCCTTTGAACTGTTTCTGCAGTCCCTTCTCTTTCACCCTTTCTCTGAAGATAATTGTTAGTCATGTGCTCTAGGTGAATAAATCAGTTCTTTAGAGAAGGTTGCTATTGAAATAGAGGCTGTGTCATTTAAATTTGAACGTAGAGAAAACTACAAATATCTTTCTGTGTGTGTGTGCGCGCGTGTGTGTGTGCGTGTGTGTGTGTGTGTGTGTGTGTGTCTGTGTGTGTGCGCGCACTCATGTATCTATGTCTGTGTGTCTGTTTTCATGTGTTTGTAGCATTGAACGGGACCTATTAATAGTAATAAAAGAATACCTAAAATTCAAGTTTAAATGGTACTCTGTATTTTTAATTTCTGGCCTGGCCACTTTCACTCTGATGATCGTGTTTTCCATCTTTGGTCCTTGTAACTATGAGTCACAATTCTTCCATGGGCCTAGGCTTCTAAAAGATTGATTTGTGTGTGTGTGTGTGTGTACTTTTCAAATCTATGACAAAGAAAGTGTCCATGTCATAATATGCTTAATCTTATTCATTTTACATCTTCTTAGTTCTTTTCGCCTATTTTTGTTTGTTTTATTTTTCTTTCATTCCTTTCTATCCTGTGTTATCTGCACTAAAACTCACCCCAGATCCTTGGTTCCAATTTTAACACCAGCCCCAGATCCACTAGGGAGCTCTGGTGTCGGCTTTGTGGTCAGTCTTCAGGATCCCACTTGACCTGGAGCAAAGGACTGAGAACCTTCATCTAGTTGCTAATGGGGCCTGAAGGACAATAACATGGCAGTTAGCACTACTTTGGATCAGCTGTGACTTCTCCTGTCTCTTAAATAAAAACAAGTATCCTGGACCCGTTGTTTGATCGCCAAGGTCTAAACTCAGACATCAATGGAAGATTTTCCAGACCACGGGCATGACTCTTCCCTCCTGTCTTCAGTCCTCTGGCCTCTTCTGTTTGCCATGTTTCCTTCCCCTCATCACAGCTCAACCATCCCCTTAAATTTTCTTTATTGATTTTTAATGTGTCGTATGTATGGAAGGCACATCACATTTGCCAATTCTCTGCCTATTTCCTCAGAGTAGGAGACAATTATCTTTATAATAATGATGATGGCAGATAGCATTTCTTCGTCTTCAAAGTGTAATTACCATGCGAAGAACATGCAGTCTTGTAACCCTCTTATATAGATCCATGATAGAGAAAAACAAAACCCGATGCTAAGAGCTACGTTGTTTGGTCACTGACTGCGGTTCGGTGAAGCCATAGTTTGAACTAGGTTCTGAGATCACAGTCATGGCTTTTAACATAGCATAGCTCTGTCCTCCCTATGTGTGGCATATGATAGAGTTTAGTCATGAAATCTCTATAAACCGTTTATAATCCTTTCTCTTTATGCACATAAAAATGCAAAAGTACTCTAGACTTAGAAATCAAGGCTATAGTGGTTCATAGAGGAGTCTTTGTCACCTAGAGATGGCAGCTGGCAAATAAATAGAAAGTAATGTGAGTTCATAAGTTCTGTGAAAAAGGGTTGGGGAATAGATGTTGCTGATTATGCTGTTGTTATTATCTTAAATTTTATTACACTTTAATTTTTGTGTGAGTGTGTTCATATGTGTATGTGTGTGGACATGTGTGCTTGTGGAGGTTAGAGGTTCTACCCCTCCACCAAGTGTGGAGGGGTATGAATGAGCTCAGGTAATCAGGCTGGGCAACAGGCACCCATTCCTTGAGCCATCTTGCCAGATCTTGTACTATTTTGTTTAAGTTGAAATGTTCTAGAAGGTCACTCTAAACAGTAAGACAAATCCTGACTGAAAGTGGAGGAATAATATGAGTGGCGCACACAGATGGAGGATGAGAAGGATGGAGTCTGGACACTTCCTTCACTTACATCATACCCTCTCTCATGACTTCTCCTTTGAAATTACTTAGCTAAGTCTGCTAAGGACTCTCAATTATGAGTGTATAAGATTATCAATAGGTGCATAGAATTAAATGAGCTACAGTTGCCATGAAGTTGAAGCATGTCCAAGACTGCTTAGGAGGAAAAGGTTGGCGTGTTTGAAGCCTGTTTGGAGACATGTTCTGCAAAGGCCTCTCACCCGCACAGTTGTGAGCCTGATTCAGAACCGCCCACTAGTGTAGGAGAAATGGGGTTGCTTTTATTGTTAGGGTAGCCATCTCCTGACCCTGGCTTGTCCCTTCTAACTCTGGTATTCCTAAGCAGATGGACTATGTTTCCTTAACACAAACAATTTCTTGGATAAGAGTGTGTCCCACGAATGCTGGCTGAGCTGTGGTGCCAAGTGAAATACAGTGGAGTAAAATGTGATTGTCAATGTGTCGCAGCAGTGCATGTCACTGTCCTCATGATTAGAGAGGGTGTGGAGAGGGGAAAGGTATTTAGGAAGAATGAAGTTTTCTGTTAGAGGAAAGCAAATTAAGGGAGACAGAGAAATTAGTGCAGCTACAATTGCTCCTCTCTGGAGAAAACATTGCTCTGAAGGCTGTGATCTGGGAACACCGATTGTAACCCCACAGCCAGCCCAGATTTGTTGTATTATCACTGCTTCATAAGTATCTTTAGGATGATTGTGTGGCGAATATACAATAAAAAATATGCTTAGTCCTCAGTCCTAAGTAAAAAGAGCTATCCTTTGTGTCAACAGGAGCGAATCCCGTTGTTCTAAAAGGTACCATGGAGTGATCATCATCCCAGGGACAAGACTAAGCTTTAGAAATGGGCATTGTGTGATGATTCTCATGCCATACAGATGTGTTGCCTTCAATGAAAGTAAACTTTCAGGTGGTGAAACCATTAAATGGAGGATGAACATGTTCAGTTGTGTAATAGAAGACTTTCACTGATGACTAGGGAGTTTGAGAGGGGTCATTTGGGATGTCTTTAATGTCAGATATGGAAGGTAGCCTCAATCCATGCTGAGAGTTGAGACACCCCTGTCCAAGTAGAAGCTAGGGGTCACATTACTGCAAATGTTAGATGTTCTAATTAAATGAAGGCACATTATGTGTCCACCAGGACTTCCCCTACCCCATGAGGTTGAGGTTCCATGATTTCCTTCCTGAATCCCCTGAGAGTGTTCTCTTGAAGTGATTTCTGTTCTTGAGGGCCTACAATATGACCCACTAAAATCAGAATATACAACTGTAATATTTAGCCTAGGTTGGAATCTACCATCCATCCAAACGCATGACTGTGACTCTTGTAACTTGTGACCCATGAATGAAGAACTAATGAAGTGAGTTTGGGGGGTAGGTAAATACGTTTGGGTCACAGAGGTCTAATCCTTTCTCCCAGACCATTTGCCTTTAGCTCTGTCTTGTGCTACTGCTCAGGAAAGCTAATAGCTCTAAGCTCTTCAGGGGAAGGCTTGTGAAAATCATGTCCAAGAAAATAAATATAATAAATGAACAATCTCTGGAGAAAGCTTTGACATTTAAAGAAATGCAAATTAGTCTCACAAGGGTATGCTATGAAATAGGCAGAGTGCATTAGTCCAAATGAGATATTTCTATGCCGATTACAGGAGCCATCTCCCAGGGGTCACACCTAAACTCGTCAAAGCTAAACCCCAAACCAGTTGTGTACCCAGAAACCTAGCGCGACAGATTTGAACGTGTTCTACTAATAACTCTCCTCACCCCATGCCTGCATGTCAGCATGCGGCTCCCCTGTTCCTCAAATGAGCTTTGATGCAAGGATGCTGGAGCATGGCTTTGAACTCCTCTGAACCCAATTATATGCAGCCATTTGGAAGTACCGTGGTGGGATGATGGCGGAAAGCACTCTGAGTTCGCACACACAGAGTTCAAGGAGGAGTTGACTGCAGCAGATCTGGCAGCCAATTCAGACATGGAACTCAGCCGCCAGCAGCTCGGCTGTCTGCCAGCCCGAACCGAGGACGGAGGGCATAAAAGAGGAGTGCAATTAGTGAGCCAAAAAAAAAAAAAAAAAAAAAAAAAAGGATGGTGCAGAGTGAATGGGGCACCAGGGTAACAGCTTTGATTTGGGAGAAAAATAGCTCATTCCATCTTGGGTTCCTAGTACTGGGCATGTGGACTGACAGAGGCCTCTTTACCTGCAGCGGGTGAGCCGTTTCACCTTCCTAAAGCATTCCCCAGCCATTCAATTGTATGAGAAGTCATCTCTCTAGGTCAGGGTCTCATTCTCTTTCTCTCCAATCAGCTTGCCACCGATTAATAGGACCCCAATAGAAAAAGAGCAGAGCCCTCAAGCAGGCAATTCCCCTTCTCCCATAGGCGTGAGGGGCCCACGTGACCTCCTCCGAGACAAAGGGCCTGCCCTTAACACATATAACACCAAGTATAAATAAAGAAGACTTTGTGACCAGACTCTGAGGGAAGGAGCTGTCTTTTATTTATCACATAAATCTGTTTTGTTTTACGGCGTGGCCATAAAACCTTAAAATGACATTTTAAATCTGGACTCTCTAACACGGATCTGTTTTCCTTGATGGAAACAGACATGGCCCGCGTTAGACGGCTGTTCACACTTGTCATCTTTAAAGCTGGGCTAGGTGACAAGGAAAGGCTAATTTCTCCATTTGGTTGGTGGTAGAATATTGGGGCGGGTTGGGGCGGGGTGTCTTCTCTCCCATTGTGTTGGACTTCCTGACTCTTCAGGCAATGGGGAAGACGTGGAGATTTTTCAGGAGCACTCAAAAACCTATTTCTTGGAGGGTTTTCTCTTCAGGTACAGTAAGGTAAGAGTAGGTGTCCCTAAAGTAAACCTCCCAGTGCTGTCCTGGATGCTGAGCCGTCTGAGGGACAGTGCGACTGATGACAGGGAAAAGATGTGTCCCTCACCCACCCTCCAGTCTCACAGGAGCTGTGGTTAGACAACCGCTCCTGTCACCTTGAGGTTTTGCCCAACTCTTCCCCCTGCAACGACCCCGCGCGATGCCTGACTTCTGTGTGCTGCTTCCCACACAGCAACCTTGGCCGCCTCAGTCTCCTGATGCTGTTTGCCCAGCCGCGCATCCTTTGGTCCATGGAGCTTTGGGAGTAGAGAAGCGGCAGCTATATAAGCCTCCTGACCTCCAGCCTCTTGCTCCTCTTGTCTTTCCTCTCTTTCGGTTTAAACTCTTCCACTCCCAGCCCACACTTTCCTCCACAGGTCTAACCTTCTGATAAACCCAGAGTGCAGGATCATCTTGTGTCTTAGAGTCAGGTTTTGGCCCCACAACAGATGAGTCTTCTCTACCTCTGCGGTTCAGAAAGGGCAGCTTCAGAACACAAAGAGTTCTTGGTATGCCCCGGGAAAACACCTTTTATGCATTT